ATAGTCAAAGTTTTACTAGACTCGAATTTATGTGGATACCAAAAATGCCAAACTTTGAAATAGAGGTATTGGAAAAGAGATTAGTACAAAAATGTTTTTACACATTTTCATATTTCCCGAGTCAAAAAAAAGAAGGGCAATTCCGGAACTAATTATAATTTCAACGGCTGTATTTTGGCCGAATTAAAATTATGAGTTATACCATTAACTAGACTTTGGTGCCAAGTGGACAAACGTTACCATAAATTGGAACAGAAGCGACAAAATTGATTTACACACATGATTTGTGTCAACGGTTACTAATTTCCACTAATTTATCTACAAAACTTAAACCAGAAAAGTTGAGTGGTGAATCAAAAGAATAATAATTGCAAAAATTAGATCAATAGGAGAGAGGATTAATGGTAAACACTCTTGTCATCTTCTTCTTCTCTTTTAGTCTCTCTCCTTAGCTACTACTACTACATCCATTATATTACTATTATTGTAGAATGGCAAATAACAACATTTTATTATTGGTCAATGACAATAATTGTGAACAAAATAATGTAGCTAGCTAGCAACAACTTTAAGCTAACAATAACATTAATAAAAATCACCCAAGGAGAATTAGAGCTCATCTCCTGTTTTTGGCATCACAAATATCCAAACTTTACTTAGAGATAGATAATAAACTAATCAATTAAATAAATGTCGTTAGAGAGATTATGAATTTGAACATAAACTCATGCTCTTGGGCTAAGCGAGGACAAAGTGATATCCTGAAAAACCTTAAGCCTCTTCTTGTCCACTTTAGTAGTAACTTCAGTCCCTAAAACAGCCATAATCATTGCTTCTTCAAACTCCTTATTGTCTGGTAATCCACAATCTATTGCTTTCTTCTCCATTGACAATCTTCTCTTCGTGTTTGTCTCTCCCTCATCACCATCACCACCACTCAATACTCCCATCCCTTGACTCGACGATCTAGTCCTCTTCAGCTTCTCGTTATTGATGATCAACTTGGAAGAAAAGAACGGTTTTGCATCAACCCTTAATGGGTTTATTACTACATTCACACTCTTCTTCACGTTCTCATCACCATACCCATCATTGCTCAAATCCGGTTTCGGTTTGGGTTTCACGGTTTGTTCTCTACAAGGCTGAGGCTGCCATATCGAAGAAGACCCGAACATCGCATCGAAAAGCCTTCTCTGCTCAACTTTATCATCACCTCCTCTTCTCATCATCTCTGATCCAAGATCATTGAGCATCTGTTGCGCTCTCTCGTAAGCTTTTAGATGTGAATCCACTCCTCTAGGACCATCCACAACCGCGGGTTTCACGCGCCGTAAAGTCTCTTTCGCCTCGTCGATCCTTCCTTGCTTCATAAGACAGATACCAAGATTACACATCTTGTTGTTGTCTGGTGCGATTGATAAAGCTCTCCTGTATGCATCTTCAGCTTCCACAAAGTTGTCTCTTTGCATCAGAGCCCATCCCAAGTTTCCCTGTTTTCGAAACAAACACACATTCAAATTAGCAAATTTTAACAAACATTGGGATTTGGAATTCGAGTTGCTATTGCTTCTTACCAGTAACCGAGTGGCTTCTTGTTCCACAGAGACCTGAAACTTCTTGCCTTGAGATCTAGCGGTCTTGGTTCGTTTACCATTAAAGGCGAGACCTTTCTGTATCAAGAAGAGTTTGTGTTTCAATAGTCCAATCTGATCATCTAATCTCCCACATCTCTGGAACAACAACATAACACAACAAAGCATCTCAATACAAAAACTAATCCCAAAAAGAAACCGAATAAAAAAGGGTTTTTTTTCCTGTGGGTGTGTAAAGTAAGGACCTTGTAGAGATCTAAGAGGATATTGTCAAGCGATTCCTGTGCTTGATCTGAGCATCTAACTCTCAGAGATTTAATAGCTTCAATGGCTTCTTCGGCTCTGTCTTGCTGCTTCATCACAATAGCCATGTCTTTCAAAGCACTGTCCACTCTATCTCCAGCATTAATGGCCTTCCAAAACAGAGGAATTGCTCTCTCTGGATCCTTCTCCACTAACTAAAATCCATTACAAAACCGCAAAAACCAATCAATCAGTAAACAAACGAAATCCAATATACAGATTCCGAGGGATCCAGATCTAAAAGAAAGGATATAATTCTAATCAATTACCTGAACATTTTTGGCCCTAACATAAGGACTGTCTCCAATAGGAACCTTGTGGATAGCATGAAACGATTCAGACCGAGTTCGGGAGATACCGAGTGGCTTTGCAGGTGAACACGGAGCAGATTTGGTCGGCCTGAACACATCTTTCATCATCATCTTTGCAGTGAAATGG